AGTAAATGCTACTTTGAAACTCAGGTTCTCTACGCCTAATAATCCTGGCCTCCAACGGTTTCTAAATATCCTCATAATTATTTTACGAAAAAAAAGCACCAGTATTTTCATTGCTGATAGGAACTGATAGATTGGTTTTGGTGCCAAAACAGGTGTGCACGTTCGACTTACCACAGTAGTACGCCAAGGTATAGGCGCAAAAAACGGCGAGTCAAGGGTTTATCATTAGAAGATGTACTGGCGAGAAATGTTTAATGCCAATTGTAGCTAGTGCAAGATACTACGAGTAGTGGAGCTTACGCTGGACTATGAGGCTTCGGCTAATTGTAAACCACGTTCGCGTACCGTTTTCTTTTTCTCGTAACATTTGCTTCAGCCTTAAAAGGCGGCCTTGATTTTATTTTGTCGAGGAATGTACGCAACAGCTCTGCTGTTCTTTCTTTCGATGTCCCAAGTTTCTTAACCACGAATGCTGGCACTTTTCCATCCGTTACCCATTTGTCAAGAAGAGCATTCCTGACATAGGTAGCCATTTCCTCCATCCCTGGGCTCTGCTCTGCCCGTTTGATCAATTTGGATAGCACCTGGTCGTCAAGGTAAGTCGTGAGTGTATCAATAGCTGGATTGGTCTTAAGTTTCGGATGCTCTTTCTTGAAAACTTTCGTGAACGTGAGCCAAGTGCCAAACCTTGGGTCCGTGAAGGTTGTATCCCCTGCCTTATCGAGCGTGAGCAATTTGAAGGCTTCGTCTGGGGTCATTTCTCTGCCCATCATGTTCGAGATGTACGCTGAGGTTTTCTTGTTTTCCACCCATTTAGCGAACAGAGCTTTCTCAAAGTAATCGGACCTGATTTTCGTGTGTGCGGCTTCCTTGGACGCCTTAATAATTCGCACTAAAGCCTCATCACTGTAATAAACTGCAAGTGTATCAATAACGGGTATCGTATTTGTGCGAGGATTCGCTTTCTTGAAATTCATTGAGTACTCCAACCAGGCCTTGAATTGTGGACTGGCAAACAAGTTATCTCCCTGTGTGTCGAGCGCTAAGAACTGGAAGACTGTTTGTGGGGGCACTCCACCGTCCAACCAGGCGTGAAGCTGTTTATTTTGGAAGGATGTAGCTATCTTCTCAGATTTTGGGGAATTCTGTGCTGCACGGACTAGCTGGGACACCGCCACGTCTGGGTCAATCTTGTGGAATGCATTGAAGCTCACAGAACGAGATATCTTCTCAACCACCGGGACTGAATTCATGCTGGTCATCCTCTCTTCATCGTTCTCCTTGGCGATGTTGCGGATCCTCAAGAATCTGTTGGTGGAGAGTTCAGTCCCCGTGATTGCGATGATCCGTGCGAGCAGTACGGCGATTCCCAACAGTACACCGCCATTCAGATGCATAGTTTGGGTGCACCGTTACTAGTATTTCGGAAATACGAAAACGTACAGTGGGTGCGTTTCTGTATTGGTCTCTCCGAGAGACTCTCTCGTGGCCCACGCTCACGAGTCGTGGCGACCGACTCGTTCGCATTACAGGATTACGTACGTAACAATGAATACATGTATGGTTACCAACGTACGTAAACAATGACGTACAGTCAGGGGTTATTAATAATGGTACTGTAACCAGGGGCTAATGGTAACCAAATATCATATGATATTTTTGATAGTAATAGTACTATTTTCGATATTAAATAGTAATACTAACTTATTTTTGCAAAAGCTAACATAATATTTTTATATTAACTCGGAGAACTGAAAAATATTAGATACTACATGATATTTTATGATATTTTCCCACTTAAGTACGTTTCTTGCCAGCTTACCTCTGTGAACCGAGCGGAGCCAAATAACTTTTTCGATCAGGTTCTAGAAAAGCAGTAGGCTTTAAGACTGACGAGTATTTGCTCTAGTATATCACTGTGACACAGACAAAGGCGATCAAGATGGAAAACTGCAAACGCTT